ATAATTTCTATTAATTAAAGTACACATTCATTGGGATGAAATAAAGTAAAAGTAAAGTAAAATTTTCAAGGGTCAAGTTTTTGTTTGATTTTTTTAGCTCCATGGGCTTGACCAACGTGTGAGTGACAGCGGTAGGCAAGTCATAGTGTGTTTTGCATCTTGGCATCAGTGTCGCACCCAGGATTTGGTTTTGTGGGGCTCACAATTATTTTTTTACAAATTTGTTAAAAGTTAAACTTTTTTTCAAGAAATTTTGCCCAAAATTTTTGGCCGAAGAAAAACATTGGGGTTTCTTTTTGGGGACGGCCTATTTTGACGTTGGTGGCGCCACTTACGCCCCAATTATACTACTCGAAAACAGGCCACATTCATATCACCCAAGGCCAACAAAATCCAAAAAAAAAAAACCTTGGCAGGTAGTTTCAATACAGTTGATCTTTGTTCCGGAACAGCGAGCATGCACAATACGGGCCTAGGGTAGCACTGTGGCTTTTGATGGTGCGGCCCATCGTCTGACCATGGTCTGACCCGCAACCTAAAAGGTTCAACCGGGCTGGACGCGTGCAGGGAAGTGCATTGTGCGTGTGAGTTCTCGACACTTAGTTGCATTTTACTGTTCTCGCATTCGATTTAAAGCTGTCAATAATGAACTCAAATTCAAAGTACGCGGAAATTTCCCAACAACCTGATGGCGAGACAGGTGATGGTGCCAACGGGATGAGTGCGGCAGTCTCTCAAGCTTCTTCCTCGGCCGCCGGCTCACTGATTCTCACGGCTGAACAGAAGGAGGAACTCGGAGGATATGACTTCCCCTATGATGGTATCGTGTTGGAGGGCGGAGGGAACAAGGGCCTATCAGCAACGGGGGCGATTCGGGTCAGTATGAGTTTTACGTTGTGCCTACGTTTTTGATCACATTTGTATAAATCCCCAGTTGATGAGACATTGGAACTATTGCAACCAAGTGTGATTCCTTGTTCCCGCAAGGAAAAAAACCCATACTGGGCCACCACTCATATTCCAGAATATGACCTGAAAAGTACCATAATTGTAAATCTGATGAAGAATCACTGTTTAAGGAGAGCAAAAATTCTGTGATAATAGCTGAAATGTTCCGTCATGGCCCATAGACTTTGTGCAAGAGCTCCGAGTGGTGGCCCAGTATGGAATTTTCCCTCCCTTAATCCCGCTCCATTTACATTGACGTAGCCGGGGGGGGGGGGGGGGGCGGGCGGTTAAGGGGTATTTAACCCCCCCCCAATAATTGAAAAGACCGCCCTTTTCCATGTTGCCTTTTTTTCACCATCACTTACTCCCCCCCCCCATATTCACAAAGCGTGCCATTCTTTTGTTAGCAAGTGACCTTTTTCTGAACAACTGCCCTTGTAAAAAAAAATCGTTCCCTTTTTTTGTGCCATTGCGCGGGTGCCTTCGCGCATGTTTCGCCCTAAAAAGCACTCCCGACTTGTAAACAAAGCCATTACATCTCAGGTCCATATTTTTTTATTTATTTATTATTTCAACTGCGTGGCCTATTCAGATGAACCCACTCGTCTTCCATGTGTCCCAGCATACATAAAAGACAATATTATGAACCTGTATCGATATCATGATCGTAGAGTAAACTAGTGTCATCAGCAAATAAACAACAACATATGACACTTGAAGAATAACAATTGTCATAGATGAACATGATAAATAGGAAGGGGCCCAACACCGACGTCATTTTTGAATAAGAATATTATGGTTAACCGTATCATAAGCTTTAGACATGTCTTAAAAATACCCCTACAGAAATTTTCTTATGTTCTGTTGCGTTAAATATATTATTTTCAACAACAAGAAGTACGTACCGTCATTTCAGTCGATCTATTTCTCTAAACCCGAATTGGCAATCTGTGGGAATGTTTACAAAAAAAATCAAACTTTTAACAAAAAAGGTATAACCTTGCCAACCCTAAGCCCATATGGAAAGACACCTGAAGCGATGGATTTGTTTAAAAAAATCAAGTATCTAAACCAATACAATCCCATCCCAATACAGGGAGGCCTTCTCAATAGAAAGTGTGTAGACAATAATTATTGTGCTCAAATTTATATCCTTGTGGAGACACGCACACAATAGGGAACAAAACATTGTAAAGGTCTCCACAAGGCAATTTCTATAGATGAATAGGTCTCCACAAGGTTTTCACGAAATAGATATATGGATTTTACTCAAAAACAAGGAATTTCCAAGGTGGGTTGATCCGTCGCAAATGGAAGAGTTTTAGAAAAAGGATATTAAGTCCGAATTTCAGCCAAGGAAATTAGTTCTGGTTAAAATAAGAGCATTTTGAAACTTCACTTTCAAAATTGAAAACTTTACTACACGAGAACAAAGAAATTAATGTCTCCACAAGGATACAAATTTGAGAGTGTGTGGGTGTTGGGTGGTATGTATAAAAACTAGTAAATGCTAGGAAGAAGCATTTACTTTGGAGTACAAGCATTAAGGACAAGCGCTTAAGCAAATGCTTGATTCCGTATGAATAAAAAACTTTCCTTTACTGTACAGCATTTACTAGACAACATGTAGCAATTGCTTCTTATTGTTTTCATGGACGAATGATTGTCAACAATAGGGTGTGTTGCGTGTGTAGGAACTGTTTACACGTAGGGTAGTACAGCCATATGGTTGCGAAGGGTGATTTTTAAAGGTTACGTAACACTTTATTTTGAAGGAAACTACATGTACACAGACGTGGTCACGTTGACGGGTGAAATCTTTGAAAATTAATTTATCCAGTTTGGAAGACCGTATCTTCATGCAACTTTCAGGATTTATTTCCCCTATAATGATCCAAGTATGTGCTAAAAGTCGTTGTGATATGTTCATTACTTTTCGTTGAAATCGGAAAAATAGGCCTCGCTACGTGCATTTTGAAAATTGTAACACTGGCGTGCGCAATATCTATCAATCTTTTCAAGCCTCACGAATATTCCGGTGTGCAGTAAACAATGGGATAAAAGCCTCCTTCAAAAGTTGTTAATTAACAAATATCACCCTTTTTGCCGGCTTCCATTGGTCAATACCGAGACCCACGCCCTGTCACGCCGAGTGACGCTAATGAATATGCTAATATGCCCGTCATCATCATTTGTGTGCGGGGCCAAAATCGGTCAGCCGTAGCGCCTAGACGGCGCTTTGCTGAACAATGCACATGGGTTGAGTGGGTTGGCAAATAATTTTTTTGATTTTCTTCGAAATTTTCCATGGAGATTGTTCACGTTGTAACACTAGCCTCCGAAGAAACAGATTAAGCTGAAATTCGGACTATACTTAGATGATATGAGTGTTCATTTTTTCGTGAAATAACAAGTGGGATAAATTCCTAGAAATTGGGATAAAAACATACATTTGGGGAAGTTTTCGAACGATTTCTTCCAGACTTGAAGGTCAGCTTTAACAGTAACCAGTATTGAGGTTTCGGCATCAATGACGGCGATTTTTTTTCACTGACATTTAGTTTAGAATTTCTTTTTCAGTTAGAATGTAATATTTCAATCACACCGAGCATATTTTCTGAGAAACACAACGTTCAAAATGCCATGTTTTTGGGGTTGCATGAATTTCACTGCTGCGATATAGCGTCTAAGTACGTAATCGGATTAGTTTTGCCTAACAACGGCGACTCTTTGCGGTTAACAACCATATGGCTGAGTAGTCCAATTCAAGGTGAAACATACAGTACATGTAGTAGTACATAATCCAGCAAAAATTATGAGACGTTTCGCCAGCTGTAGAATACATAAAGTATACTTTCATCATTCATGGAAATTGTAAAGGTCCTCAGTGTCCAATGGCATAAAAATCACAGCATCTCACGGGGAAGAAAATAATCAAAAGAAACGTTAGGCGTTAGCATCTTGCTTGCGACATTTTCACCAAAATTTACAAAATAATCATTAAATACTGGGAAGCGATCACTGATACCGGTACATTTGTAATAAGGATCCCAGAACAGCGATCTAAAAAAATCATCAATAATTCTAGCACGTTCAGTTATCGTATTGGGTAGAGAGAGTACACGATAAACAATTGCCCGTGATATAACGGTAAAAGCACCACTTGGAAGCACTGTTAAACGGGTTGCCAACAAAAAACCCGTAAAATTACGGTTAGTTACAGGTTTCCTAAAATGACGGCTCGTAAATGTAACGGTAATTTGCCGTAAAGTAGCGAAACAAAGTGGGGTGGCGTCGGGGCTGGCTGCAAGGGTAGGGAGGAGTTAGGTTCCAGTTGCGGCAGCTGTGACGAGTGGGGTTAAGCATACGTTTAACAGCTTGTCTTTTACACGCGTGGTGGTTTTCATATCGTTTTAGGTGAAATTTTCCAGTGTAATTCACGAATTTAGCATTCTGATTCGTCTAAATGTAGGGAAATTCGTCTCATGGGGAGATGGGCGTTGAATTGAAAAAGCATGTCGTGTCTTAAAAGAAAGACAGTAAACAGTGAAGCATATACATTGTGTACATTCATGCCTCTTTGTAAAGCCCGAATAATCTGAATGAGTCTGTGACTGGATATTACCGTTCGCAGCTGTACCGGTTAGGCCTAAGTAAAGTTGGCGCTCTTTCGATTTCTGGAATATTTGCTCATGGTGTTCATTGTGTCTTGGCTTGCGTTAACATAACTGTTCAACTCGGAATTCTCGCCTGCAATTTGTGGTTGGATGGACAACTTGAACACAGCCATTTCGTTTGTCAGTGGTCACGGTGATGCTATCGTCATGATATGTGCGGCTAACACGTTAATCAAGGTATGCTTTAAATAACGCTGCAGAATGTATAAAACTTTCTCTATCAACGCGTACAAGAATTTATGCACACAGTTCCCCAATACCTTTCATGTTTTCTACACTGAACAAAATACTCATAATAAAATAACATTAATAAGTGATAGATCGAGGTTCACACACGCAAAATACACAATCGCGATCAGCTCCGGAGCAAAACGGCACTCGTCCGTTCAAAGACAAGGAGACATGTCGACCCTTGGTGTCAAGTCGCCGACTCGGCTGAAGTCTCCCGTGGCTTACTCTTCCGTTGCTGCTTCATCGGAGCTTCTCACAGTTAGGCAGAAAGATGAATTTGTGGGATATGACTTCTGCTTCGACACCATCGTGTTTGAGGGCGGAGGCAACAAGGGATTGGCGGCAACGGGGGCCATTCGGGTCAGTACAGTGCCACATACACTAAATGCACAAATAAACAGGTAGAATTCAGAATCCTCACACCGTATTTTTGTCACCATATTTTACCTTAAAAGTGCAGTAGCGGGTCGGGCGGGTTAGACACCCCCTTTTACAGCCGCTGACTTGTGTTAACTTCACTACTAGTAAAATGGGGCCAATAATAATAAATGGAATTCTAAAGTTTCTAAATGTACATGTACATGTATTCTTAAATTGCTTAAGGCAGTTCAAATTGCCATCGTAGATTTCAAACTAGTGCCTTAGCCCTAAAAGGGCCGGGGCGGAATCCAACACCCCCCCCCCCTCATTTTTGATAACAAAAACATATAATTCGAACCACGGATTGCCGGGCCGCGCAGCGAGAAAAATTACGTGAATTTCCCCATACGTAGTGTACACAAAGCAGAATTACCGTTTTTGCGCATGAATAATTAATTAGTTATAATTCCAAAACCCTTTGACATATAGTCATTAAATTGTTATGGTATGTACCTCATAAGTTGTTCTATGCTAGCCCCATAAATGTGGCCAATTTACTGGACTACCTCCGTAAATAAAGGCCACACTTCCACCATGTACAAAAACATGTCGATACGCAAACGTGTGCAAACGAATCTGGAAATTTCACGAAAAATAGACATCTGAAAAAGGCAGCACTTTCTGATTAGCCTATAAATTTGGTTAAGCATGCTTCTAAAGTAAAAATTAACTACAAACTAAGCCTAAATGTGATAATCACAATTTGACTAAGTTGTACATGTTGTTGTACATGCTTTTGTACATGGTGGAAGTGTGGCCTTTATTTACGGAGGTAGTCCAGTAAATTGGCCACATTTATGGGGCTAGTTCTATGCATATTGAGTTTCATAATTTTTCGTCACTCGATGGCCGAGATCTTAAGGGGGCGTAATCCCCCCCCCCCCGGCTGTGAGATGGTCAAAATAACCCGGCCTTTTTTATTCAAATCTATCCTGGCCGGCCGCTTCATATAAGAATCCCGCCCTTCGTCACTTGCAATTATGTTCGAAAACATTTACGTGAGACTGAGAAACATTTGGAATTTGGTTAGATCACGTTAGTCAAGTCCCTGGAAAAAAAAACCCAGCATAATTATGATGCTGCATGTACACTGCGCCGTTCTCAGATATTGGGGGAGCCGACAGACAAAACAGAACTGTGTTAGGCCATCAACCTAGGGGTTTGGTCAGTGTCAAATGAGGGGAATATTGTGATTTATTTTCAAGGTATGCACCCTTTTAGTTGGAAAATATGTGATAGCATTACAGCGGTGGCAGCTTTTTGGGTGCTATCACTTTTTTTGTAAAAATGGCGGCCAAAACATGCTTGTTACCACATAAAATTAAATCCGGTAACAAGCATCTTAGCGGCCATTTAAAAAAAAAAGATAAAATTCCATCTCATGAAAAGTGATAACACCAAAAAAACTGCCACCGCTCACACTGCAAAGCTTTCTCACATTTTCCAACTCCATATACCTTGCAAAAAATCGCTTTAAACATTTGATGCCGATTGCCCAATTTTTGGGCCGAAGCTGATAGCCTGTGGTGATTTGCCCTGTAGTCAAAGCCATGCATGCGCAGAAGCGACTTCAATGAATGCATGTAAGGATCAATTTGTTTTGATGTGTCGAAACGTCCAAACAATAGTTACATCATACAGGACTTCGCCGTATTCAAGACATTATTGATTTGCGCTTGGATAAAGAAACTGAAGAAGCCATTTTTTTCTTAGACTTCAGAAAAGCGTTCGACACAATTGAGGTTAACTTCAATAAGAAAGCGTTGGGGTTTTTCAACTTTGGTCGTCTCTATTAGAGTGGACAAATGTGTTGTACAGTAACATAGAGAGTTGTGTCACACAAAATGGCTGGTTGTCAAACTATTTCATTGTTTCTAGAGGCATCAGACAAGGCTGTCCTCCATCAGCATTATTGTTTATAATTGCAGAAATTTTGGCTCTGTAGATTAAAGCTAACAGAAACATCAAAGGTATCCAGATAGATCAAAATGGTAACCTAACGGAAATTAAAACCGCCCAAAATGCCGATGACACGACCATCTTTGTTAGAGAATAAACTCCGTCATGGATGTACTAAATGAAGTTGGTGTTTATGAAAAGGTGGCCGGTTTAGAGATTAACCTCAATAAAACAGATGGTCTATGGCTAGGCAAAGGTAATAATAATTGTGATCTTGCCGGTATAAAATGGCCAGTGGACCCTATTAAGTGATTTCGGCAGAAACCAAGAGAAGTTGAGAGAGCTGTATTGGGACAGTAAGGTTACCAAGTTAAAAAGAATCTTGAATGCTTTGAGAACTGTCTTCTGTGATTTAAGTTTGTAAAGTATTATTTATTATGTCACTAAGTACATGTAATGCTTTTGTTAATATTTAATGTTGGAGGAATATGCGAATAATAAAAGGCCTGGAAAGGGCAAAAGAGAAAACAAAATAATAATACAGGACTTGTTATGTAAAGGCTTAACTCTCTACTGTGAAATTTCACAGTAGAAAGTCTCTTATAAAACAAAATCCTGTCTCGGACTTACAATTTATCTGGGCACGGATGACAGAGCACTACCCCAGCTTATTGACGGCTCATTGAATCAGATTCGAATCTTATTTATGAGAGTCTGTGTTTTGTTCTCATCTTGATTCTGTTTCATGACTTGGCAAACGGAATCGGAGCTTACGGGAGTTATGCAATTACGGGCTTCGGAGTTTGGTTGCGATACCGTCCCCTTCCGTCTGAATAATAAGTATGAGCCTTATGCCGACAACCCCCCCCCCTTTCCCAACCCGAGATTCAACAACTGAACAATTCTTTTAAGAGGAGAGTTTTGAGAGAACGATCCCTTTGGGCTCGAAATGTGCTTATCACGAAATGATAATACTGTAGTGAAAAAGATCGTTAAAAAGTAGAATTTGAATGTTAACGCAATCATTGTAAAGTAACTTGGAAAACTTTGCCGGTTATCGTATAATGGGCCTACATGTAAGTGCGCGAAAGAATTTCCGGAGTAGACCTATACCAAATTTTGGCCAAAAAATCGTCGGTACTGATCAGTTACACTCGTTGCTTTTCAAAATGTTTTAAAGTTGAATAAGATCGGACCTGATGTCGCAGTGAACACGGCACCAGTATTATATTGACGGTTATGTACAAAACTCGACGGCTTTATTTACTGCTGGAAATACGTATAGGCCAGCTTGTACAGAGCGCCCTCTGGTCATTGCTCCTCTGTGATACGCGTGAGTAGACGCTTTATACTGTCATTTTCGCTGAGTTTGATAACAAAACCTGTCTAAAGTGAGGGCGCTCTTTGCAAGCTCTTTATGAGGGCCGCTCAAGTCAAAGTTTGTACTCGGTTATGACTTGTGTTAATTATACAAAATAACCATCCTTTGACAAACTGAATTGAAAATGTGTCCCTGCATGCAATGGAAAACTTACAGAGTCTGGGATATTTATATTAAAAATGCAGTATGGACATAATACAGTTGCTCATTAAAAATAGATTTTCTCCTTGTATCACAGGTCCTTGAGGAGCTTGGCTACTGGGGAAACATCAAACGTTTTGCTGGGGCCAGTGCCGGTTCAATGGTTGCTGCTCTTGCGTCTGTTGGATATAACTCGTATGATATCGAGACATTCCTGAGAGGTGATATCACCAAAGTCTTCCTTGGTGAGTAGGCGGGACCCAGTTTCATTGTCGGGGGAGAGCCGGGGGTGGGGGAGGGGGAGGGTGGCTGGTGAGTATGTTTAGGGTAATAACTGACTGGTCGAGTCAGGCAGAATCTTTTGGCCTCTTGAATTTCTTACAAAAACTACATTTAAGAAAAGTTCCAATAGCTTTTTGCCACGTGCTGCATTTCTTTGCAATTCCTAGCCTGGTGCTTGTTTCTCTCCAACCTCTGATCCGCTCTGTTCCAAAAGGAGTGCTAATTCCTACCTTCAGTTTTCCTGAGTACATTTAATTTAGTGCAACTCCATTAGAATTGTGACAGTGTTTTGGTCGTAGGTATTATGCTGTAGTACTCGAGTTAAAACTCGTTTTCGTTTCGTTTAGATATCTAGTATTTTAATGTTTTGTTCCATTTTTTCCCCTTCTCAGCAAGGCAAGCTTGGCTGCATGGCTTTTCTCCGTGAACTCATTGCTGAGAACAAGTTGGTGCGCAAGACACGAACTGCATGGTGGTAAATCATGGTCAATCATCCGCCTTTTTGCGTTAAAGCTTGTTGAAACGCTCACCAGTTTAGCTTGTTCTAGGCTATGTTATAAGCGAGGACGATGACACTTATCATTGAGGCTATGAAACGCGTGGTGAACTTGATCTTGTACGTTAGGTTTTGACAAGAGTGCTCCTACATAAAGTCCCACGCAGTGTAATTTTACGGAAACTATTTTGGTTTTTAAGGACTCAATTTCTTTCACAGTTAGGTAAAATTTTCAATGTTTTTCCTTCAAAGTTCAATAATTAGAGGGTTTTTTCTTTAAAATCATTTGTATCATCACAATTTATTGACAGTAAAATGTAAAGTACATGTTCTTTCAAATTGGTATACTAACGATACTGGGTTTCATGGCTTTGTAGTTTTTTCTTTATATAGCACTGGAGATGTAATCCTAATTTCTGTGATGAAACTTGTCTTGTTTACAAACGTTTTACAAGGAATATTCAGAGTAAGTTGTGTAGTAAAATTGAATATCGTATACCGGGCTTATAATTCGGGGCGTGTGGTAAGATTTATATAATTATATCAATTTACTTTTGCTTTTGTTGGTTTATTTTATAGGTTTTCCCGGTTATTTTAACATAAGTATCACACGAATTCCCTCGATACTTTAATTTCGTCCCAGAACATTGCCAAGCTCACTTCTTAAAAGCCACCACTAAATTTCATTCAACGTTCAATATAATTCAAATTTTAAGCATACCGATTCGTCCAAAATCTTTGAAGTTCGTCTCTTGTAGCAATCGGCGTTGAATGACAAAGCAAATTCGTTTTTGTCATTAACTTTAACGTTTTGGTCATTTTAATTCTGATCGTGCACTCTCCTCATTCTCTAGCCCACGAAGTCCTATAAATTTCGGGGTATTTCTGAGTTGTCTTGACACTCGTTGTTGAGACTCGGTCTGGAAAAAAAAGATGGCTACCAGTGGAGGGCTTCAAAGAGGTCGATACAATTAGGTTTCAAACGCGGACAGAGGTCGCATCATACATAGACGCTTTCGAAGGAGATGAACACGACTATCTGACCGTTGCTGACACTCTTGGCGTGAAGCGCCAAACTGCTCGCAGCATCGTCTTAACTTACCTTCGTGAGAACAGAAGAGATGCTCTACCAAGAGGAGGGAGAACACGTTCAGAAACGGATCAAGAAATGCAGAATTACCTTCAACAGTTACTGGATAAAAACCCCTTGTTAACCTCGGGCCAACTAAATACGACAACGGCTCCCTGATAAACCACGTATTGCAATAAATACATTAGCACGGACTATAGTCGGCATGTTGATCACGCTCAAGCTAGCTCAGAATGTATCTCAAGCCCGTACGCTGACAGAGTGATCCTACAGCGACAAGAATATGCCAAGTGGTTCTTAAGACAAGGCGTCGTTGGTCACTGCATCTCCATCGATGAATGCGGATACAACATTTGGACGCGACGTTCATATGGGAGAGCAGTTAGAGGACAACCCGTTCGCAGAGTGTTGCAAAACCAACGTGGAAAAACTGCATCGTTACATTTGCCATATCTCCTGAAGTCGGACTTGTCCATCATGCCATAAACCTGCACACCACAACACGTGCGTCAATTGAAAAATTTCTGCAGGAAAAAGTTGAAGCCTGCCAGGAAATGTTTCCCCAAGAAGAGCACTTGTACTTCATCTACGACAACGCAAGGCCTCATGTTCTTGCTGAACTGCCACCCTGCACCAGGGAATGAGAACATTGAACTGACGCGGCTTCCCCCCATACTCCCCATTTCTCAATCCTGTTGAAAATGCACACTCCTGCTTCAAAGCTTGGGTAAAAAGACTCTTACGACTTACCGAATGGCAAATAAGGATATCTGACCCCCAGGCTGCTGCGAATGAAGGCTTGACCATACAGGGATGGAGGGTATATACGCCTACTGGTGGAAGCTGCTCAACATAATGTGGATGAGATAACACCCAACAAGTGCCAAAGATGGTACAATCACTCCCAAACCAAGATGCATGGCCAGAGAGGAGATTGAAGGCTGAAAAATGGCATTATGAAGATATCGTTTAAGTTTACGTTTCTAAGTGTCGTGTAACAATGCAAATACTGATAAAAAATGAACATAAAATTGTCCTTTGTCTCTATATAAATATATAATGAATAAAACCACAGAAGTTAGGTTTGTATATATCAAAGAGCAACAACGAAGTTGTTTGATCTTAATGCTTAATTTTCATGCCATGAGTAAAGAGCATTAATATGACAGATCTATTCCTGATTCTAATGTTAATTGTGAAACACAGAAAAGAAGATTCTAAAACAGAAGCTTGGCTACTTTTATTTACATATAAGGAAATCTATGTTGAAATTACAATTTTAGTAATGCGCACACTTCTTCCAATAAGTCCAAAGATTGGACACATTTTTTAATCGTTATGTTAATTGTGAAACACAGTAAAAGAGATTTTACATTTATAGCTTGACTACTTTTATTTACTCATATAAGGAAATAATTATATGTTGAAACTATAATTGTAGTAATGCGCACACTTCTTCGAATAAATGCAAAGATAGGACACAGTTTCTAATCGTAACGTTTAAGTCACTAGAAACGACATGTAATGACAGCGACAGCGATTTTGGACGAATCGGCATGCTAAAAATTTGATTTATACTGAACGTTAAATGAAATCTAGTGCTGGTTTTTTGAACTTCAAATTGAGAAGTGAGCTTTGCAATGTTCGTGGACGAAATGAAAGTATCGAGATCGGGAATTCGTGTGATACAGATGTTAAAATAACCGGGAAAAACTATATTACTGGAATTCTGAAATAATAAAGTTTGTTGTTTTCCTTTTTGTAGACGTCTTCGATTTGTATTACTTTGGGATGAATATAAGCCCTGAAAACCTTACAATGCGCCCTGAAAATGGGCACATAACCGCACATTATTCGTAGTTTGCATAATGGCCGGTTTTGAAGAGCGCCACCTATTTTGGGAAATGGGTCCCCGTTGCCCCCCCCCCCCCCCCCCCCCCCCCCCCCCCCGATCCGCCCTTGAGTTCACATTTCTTTTTTCTATGCCTTGGGATGAAATGAAGTAAAAGTAAAGTAACACGTTCAAGGACACACGTTTTTGTTTGATTTTGTTTAGCTCTATGCCTTGACCAACGGGTACGTGACAGCGGGTGCGCCACTCAGGTCCGTGTACATACCGTCCAATCAGTTACCGTTTGAAAATCGTCAAAAGAAAAAAGGAAAACGAACCCTTTACCGTTTACCCAATTATAATCTTGGTGTAGGAACAGAAAAAGCAAATCGTTTACCAGTTACCGGTTATGCGTCTGGAAAAGGAAATCAGAAAAACGAAATTCTTTTGCCTTTTACCATTTTTGAATCTGTAAACAGAAAATGAAAAAGCATACCCTTTTCCAATTTTTGGTTTTGAATATTTGATACCAAAAATGAAAAACCAAACCCTTTATCAGTTTTTGAATTTTTGATAAGAAAAATGAAAAACCAAACCCTTTACCAAATTTTGTTTTTGAATTTTTGAAAAGAATAAAGAAAAAGCAACCCCTTTGCCAATTTTTGTTTTGAAATTTTTGAACAAAAAAAGCAAAAGCAAACCCTTTACCCTGTTTTGGTTTTGAATTTTAAAAAAAAGAAAAAAAAAAAGCAAACCCTTTTCCAGTTACTGTTTTTGAATTTTTAAAAAGAAAAAAGAAAAAGCAAACCCTTTACCGGTTACCGTTTTGGAATTTCAAAAAGAAAAAAGAAAAACAAGCCCTTTATCGTACACCGTTTTGGAGTCTGTGTTTAGAAAAAGGGACAACGCATCGAGTTACCGCATTCCGTTTTTAATGGTATGAAACAAAATCATCAATCGTTTTCCTTTGTATACAGTTACCATTATGTAAATAAACGAAACACACTCGTTTTTGTTTCATTTTATTTCACTGAAACACAAACAACTAAAAACTAAGACAACCTTTTTCTGCCAAAACAAAAACGAAAAAAGGGTAGCAGGAAATGGAAAAACGAAACCTGTTACTAGTTCAAGCCCAAGGAAACCCGAGTGCGGCCGAGTTCGTCAGAAAGTGCCTCGCGGCTGTTTCCTGTGAAAAACCTTGTCCACGGGGCGTAACGGGAACTCATGCGCGCCCGTGGATTATGTCGGGGCTTGAACATGTTTACTGTACTGTTGCTGTAATCGCTCTCTTACTTAGTGAGGCCCCCTACTTTGTCTTATTCTTTGCGCTGTTTTTGTTTGAAGAATTGTTTGGAATGGACACCTTTGCTTTGTTTAGTGCCAATTAACGCCTTTCTTGAAGAGAGGAAGACATGAGATCAGCTGTATTTTCAGGTAGTTTGTTTAGGCCTATTTTGTTTCCAGTAAAATTGGCTATGGGGGGGGTTCGTTTTAATATTTATATTTTATGAACTGCTATTGTAGAAAAATCAAGACAGAGCTGTGGGTGGGGGTGACCTCTAATTCCCCCTCTAGATCCGCGCCTGGGAAAGGAGAGGGCCTTAAAGGTTCTCCATTATACACATGTATGTTTTATTATTTTATTCAATTCCAGAAAAGGCGAACCCCAAATTTATAGGCATTATGAAAAATAGAATCCCCCAGCGGCATAGGAAGGATTTTTCCAGTGGGAATTGGGAGGGGGGGGGCTGGCGGGGAGAACCAGCATTTTATAAGGGACACCCATAAGGCCAAAAAAAAATAGTCTCCGGTTTCTGGTATGCGCGCGCGTGGCCGTAGCCATACGCGTCGGCAAAATGAAAAAGTTTTTTTTCAATGAAAGATGATGTCTCAAAAAAACTCACGTGTTTGACTGGAATTCTGCTGCTGCACAATTTTAACGTGTTTTTAGATGGGGTTATGATCGAGAATAAGCTTTATGTGGCCTCTCTGGTCTCCCATAATATTTGCACTAAGTTTAGTCGGGCACCATTTGCAGTCATCAGCCGACATTTGAAGCAAAAAAAAACAGGTAAAAAAAAAAAAAAGCCGCGTCGCCGCACCACTTTTTGGGCAAGCTCCATACCAGAAACCGGAGACTTTTTTGGGGGGCCTAAGACATCCTTTTTTTGTTGGGGGCGGACACCTGGTGGCGCTGGAAGTTAATGAGCCGGGCACGTGCCCCACAAGCCCCCCCCCCCCCCTCCGCCACTGGCTATATCACTGCTGTCCTCTTTCAGTCGAAATGATATTCAACATGTGAAAAAACGTTATTATTAGGCCTAAACCGCATTAGAAAATATACAACGGTGCGGGTTTTTTTGGAGACCGTATATAGTCTGAATAGGAAATTGTCATTAAAATTTGGATTTTTGTTTTGTGCACATTGATACTGCTCGATTTCTGTTCAAATATCACAATTTTTGAAATCATAATTGCCACATGCCTTGATTGAAATAATGACAAACTGAACAAGATTTGACTTGACAGCATTTAATCATATCAGTTCTGCCCTTTTGGGGTATGTAAAAATAATCACACTTAAACTAAAGCGAATACATTTCACTCACAGTCTAAAAAAGCATGCATACATTTTTATTTGCATGGTTTGCCGATTCCAACAGACTCTACACAACTTTTAAATCATTTGTTGTAGTTTTTTTCTACAAAACCACATCAAAACCAAGTGTAGGAAATATATTTGAAAATAATAGTTAGGCTCCATAGCATTGATTATTGTTCATAATTTTAG